CGGCAGTCTGCACGAGCAAGTCTACATGCGCCGTCCGCCAGGCTTCACCGGCACCTTTGCTCCTGGGACCTAGTGGCTTCTATGGCCCCCGGTTTACAGTCTGCGGTAGGCGCCCCATGAGTGGCACGACACGCTGCACGCTATGTTAGCTGACTTGCTGTCTTTCCCATCGTCTGCGGACCCTTCGCTCTTCGTTCGTTCAGGCCAGACCACGTTCTACATCCTAGTCTACGTAGACGACCTGGTCTTCACTGCTACAGACAGAGATGCACTGGTCTCCGTGAAGGCTGAGCTACTGAGGAGACACACCTGCACAGACCTATGAGAGCTGTACCGTTACCTTGGCCAGCAGATCTCCAGGGACCGAGCAGCACGCACCATCACTCTCACACAGTCACACCTGGTGTGCCAGGTCCTTCAGAGGTTCGATCTTCAGTTCTCCTCCGTACAGCCCATACCTCTACCAATAGATTACAGGCTCTCGGCTCCTGTCCCTGAGGAGTCGGTAGAGCCTAGTGGTCCGTATGCAGAGCTGGTGGGTTGCCTCATGTACCTGATGACTTGCACTCGTCCAGATCTCGCATACCCTCTCAGCATCCTGGCTCGCTTTGTGGCCACAGGCAGATACCGACCATAGCATTGGTCGGCCGCTAAGAGGGTTTTTCGTTATCTAGCAAGTACAACGGGCATGGGGCTAGTGCTAGGAGGATGCCGGCCAGTGGTCCTTACAAGGCACACCGACGCTTCGTGGGCGGATGACGCTGAGACGCTCAGGTCCTCCCGGGGCTACTGCTTTAGTCTTGGTGCAGGCGCCATCTCGTGGAGGTCCAGACGCTCATGGTCTGTTGCGCAGTCTACCTGTAAGGCTGAGATTTACGCTGGTGCCATGGCGGCACAGGAGCTCCAATGGCTGACCTTCTTGCTCATAGACTTAGGTGAGCGGCCTAGCTCTGCCCTAGTCCTGTACGCTGACAACAGGGCCTTCATCCTCCTGTCTCAGGAGCCTCGACTGGAGGGCAGAGCGAAGCACATCTAGTTGCAGTACTTCCTCTTACGTGAGCTACAACAGCGATGCCTGGCTCGCGTAGTTCACTTGGCCTCTGGTGCCAAGACAGCTGATACGTTTACTAAGGCGTTTGCGCCTAAAGATCATCAGCAGAACTGTGTACAGCTTGGTCTAGTTCTAGTAGCTCCTCAGTTATTAGGACCTTGATTGTGTACTACACTTTCTATATTCTCTTGACTGGTATTGTGGCTTCTGTTCCAGTGGCCGGACCAGTAATGCCGCCCTGGTTTGCTCTTGTCTAGTTTGTACTCTTCTGACTGGTCTTTGGACCCTTGCCTCAGAAGTAGGACTAGTAGTGCCACCCTGAGCTACGTGTCACTTGCCAGGCACTGCCCCCTGTCTAGCCTAGGGGGTGTGTCAACATATTTATATATTGTTATAGGCTAGATAGGTGCATGCTTATAGAGAGAATAAGCGTTCTTACGGCACTCCACCCCGATCCGACCAGAAATTGGGAGGTGATTTTGGTCAAGGGCCAGTCAGCGCTCCCCCCTCACACTGCCCCCAGTAGCACACATTGCGCGATGATTTTTGTGAAGGACCAGCGCCCTCACAAAGCTTCCAGCACGCGACGGGGACTGATTTTGGCAAAGGGACAATCAGCGCCCTTATACAGTCAATAGAGCCTCCAGCACCCATCGGGCCCTGATTTTGGCGAAGGGCCAATCAGCGCCCTCATACAGTCAACAATGTCAGAAACTAGCTAGGTGGGAAGAGACGCCAAGAATGGCGAGAGGTTTTAGGTGCTAGGAAAATGTCGAGAGAGAAGGGACATTGAATAGAAGACACAGGGATACAAAGAGGGTTGTACCCTCTACAGTAGGATCCAGTAACACCTACCAAGCCCATAATTATATATATCAAATATATCATTTAACACACCCCCTAGGCTTGGTAGTCACAAGCCCACCCCACATGCAACACCTCTAAGCCTAGCACCCCCATACCCTGCAGCAGAGGTGACTGCAGGGAAGGAAGGCGCTAGGCATCCTTGAGCTGCGGCGGGGTGGAGCCAGCTGGCGTGGCGAGCTGGGACCGATTCTGTGAGCTGGGACCGACGCGACGAGCTGGGTCCGCTGGGACCGACGCGGCGAGCTGGGTCCGACACGAGGAGCTGGGGAGGTGCGGTGAGCTGGAGTGCGGGCTTGCTGCCTGGTGCCTAAACCAGTGCGCGGCCCACTGCCGCCCGTGCGCTGACGCGACGACGGCGGCACGGCGGCACGACGAAGCCGCCACGTGGAGGCTGCCACAGCAGCACGACAAAGCCACCATGGCAGCACAACACAGCCGCGACGGTGGCGCGGAAGTAACGAGATGGGGGGGGAGTACGCGGCAGAAGCGTGAGGAGGCGGCCCAGCAGGGCGGACCTCCTGCTCTGAAACCATATCAGAAACTAGCTACAGTAGGTAGGAAGAGACGCCATGAATGGTAAGAGGTTTTAAGTGCTAGGAAAATGTCGAGAGAGAAGGGAGATTGAATAGAAGAGAGAGGGATACAAGAAGGGGGGTTGTACCCTCTACATTAGGATCTAGTAACACCTACCAAGCGTACAATGATATATATCAAATATATAATTTAAGAAACAAGCCTACAGAAATCGCTTTCATAAGAGTAGAATCGCTAAGTCTGAAAGTTCAGAGGGACAAGTATACAGTTCCTGAGATATCAGAGGAACAAAAAATCACTTTCTAGAGCATCAGAAATTGAATCATTGGGTTTTTAAAACACCATAAAAACGCCTTATATGAAAACCAGACAAACAGACGGATTTTGTCTGATGTCGAGAGCCCTTACACAGGTGAACCCGAAGCGTCGGCTAAGTCTCTAAATTGTTTGGCGTGAAGCTTCAGTGGAGAGCAGGCCTCTCGATGTCCCCGAAGGGCCCCCTGCAGAATCCGAGTTAGTCGCGCAACCAACTCGTCCAAGCTGGGTAACCCAAAAAATGTTGATTGTTTTTTCAAGGCAGTTTCGGCGATTTCCCGGCATGTGCAGGGTTTCAAGGTCGCGTTCACTTCTTTGAATTGCACTAAACTTTTCCTTTCACCAATTTCATCTACAAGTGCTCGGATGTTATTATAAGCCAAATTGCGCTAAAAGAAAAACCCAAACGATTGACTACAAGTGCAACCGCCACATCACCAATTTATTGCCTACTACAAAAAATTACCCTACCTACAGATACAAATGCCCCACTTATATGAAGCACAGAGGCGTGGTCCAGGAAAACACGTTTTCCCAACCAAACCTCTTTGGGGAAACGAGCTTAGCTGAGAGAGGCTTGGTTGGGGGAACGAGTTTGGCTGAGAGAGGCTTCATTGGGGGGAACGAGTTTGGCTGAGAGGGGCTCGGTTGGGGGAAATGAGTTTGGTTCAGAGAGGCTTGGTTGGGGGTTACGAGTTTGAGTTAGAGAGGCTTGGTTGGGGAAGCTGCAACATCCAATCAGGGTCTGGCGCGCTTGCCGAAAACCCAAACGGGCCACTTGGGATTTCGAGAGCGGTTTTGCCCGAATCCCTCCCTCAACGGAGAAGAGGGGTTTCTAGCTGGGTAACCAGGCCTTACAAACGGATGTTACAGGGCGATACATTCCACTACTCGGAAATCGGACGCGGAATGTTGTTGCCTAGGCTGCTAGAGGACGTGTACTTCAAATATGGATGCGTAGAAATCAGGGTAGTACACCGAAATCACCCGGTTTTCCTTGAGTAAGCAGGGTAATTACCCGGCTATCGAGAGGCCTGGTGGAGAGGTGTGATAAGGTCCATGGTGGTGCGAACATTATTATTAGCCTAAATGAGATCATGTATCCATTCTTGTCAATATAAGGTACATACGTCTAAGTTGATTACTTGTAGTGTTTGGCGGTTTCGTAACGGCTCGACCCGAGCTCGTTATTAACGATACTGCCTTTGTTCAGTTGAAGCCATGTCGGGTTCGAGCTGAACAGCGAGCCAGCTGGCAAAGAAACGGCGAACCGCGTAAGGGCAGGCAATGAAATTATAATACACCTGGTGTCCACAAAATGCTGTGCTCGAGTCAGTCCCAATCGGCCCCTTCCTGATCGACATTCCCTTCCAAATACATCCAGCGCGACTCGCAAACTGTGTGTTCCAGTGTCAGGCTTCAGGTGTACAGTCTTGTTACAAGCTACTGTAGTGTTTTGGTCCACAGTGTCAGTGGAGAGGCGCTGCAGGATGGTTGGAGACGGGAAAACTTCAGTTTCTTGCACTGATTGCCAGCTGAGCCCGCCTGTGTGAAATGGAGGGTGATGTGGGTTTTATTTTTTTTTGTCAATGCAATGTTAGCGTTTCTACCACACTCTCGAAATTGTACCCCCTAAGAATTCGGAGAATCCGCGGCAGTTTTGTCTGGAAATTGTTTTCTTGCTGCCATACCAACCATCTGTTTGGGAGAGTTTCTCCCTCCATGGCTGCTCCCACTCCTTGTCCGTGGGGCAGATACGATTTTGCTACGATTTGACTTGGAGCGAAACCACCAACCACCACCAACCAGCTGAGGCAAGCCAAAGGCCGTCCATTCCATTCCCTTTCTCTTGCCTCCTACCCTTCCGTCCGAAACAAGGCACGCGCTCCCCCATCACCCACCCACCCACCACCACTCCCCCTCACCCCCAGCCCCGCACTTGAATGACGACAATGGCAACACTGCCATGGCAGCACCAATGCCCTTTTGAGGCACGTGGTCGGATGGATCTGACTTGCTCTGCATAGCCATCTGATCTTAGCCGTACGATCTTTTCAAACAATTTACTTCTGCTAGGGATGCTCGAATCTCTCCCTCTCCCCCCTTGGGTTCAGACAAGCAGTCCAAAGAGCCCTAGTTGCTGGCGCTGTTTACTGTGGCTGCCTGTATGGCCTGAGCACAGTGTCTGTATCAGGAGAAGCACAACAAACCGGGATGCACTGGCACATGAAGGGACAAGTCGAGGGAGTCACACGTTGGCTGGGTGGTGGCTCTACATTTTCGTCCATTTCCAAATTCATGAGATCGTGATTCATGACATGGAATGGCAAACCTGGTCGCCCACTCTAGGACTATTCCTGAGCCACGCAGAGCAGACCTTAGCTAAGCCGTGCGACAAGTTCTCCTCCACTCATGGCGACGGACACGCAGCACCGCGCGAGCTGCGTCTGTCGCCTGATGGCCGCGCCGACGCCGCTGGACCTGCCGGACTTCCCCCCCCATCCACGCCCGCCGCACATCTCTCCTCGCTTTCACTCGCTCGCAACCTCTCCAACTCAGCGCGGCACAGGCGCCGCCACGTGTCCCTCGAGTGCTGCACGCGGCGGCATCGTGCTTGAGACTTCGCAAACTCCCAGTCGCGCCATCCACAACCGCCATGGCGCGCCTCCCTCCCCCCTCTCCTCTCTGCTGCCCACCAGTGTGAGTCACGGAGAGCCCCCCTCCTCGCCATCGGCGGCTTCCGCGGCTCGCTTTCCCTCCACCCGGGACTCTGCCTTTCCCGCTCACAATCCCTCGTCCCCTCGCTATAGTCCCCGTCACGGCCCCGCTTCCCCTAGCTATCGGAACGGCGAGAGTCGGCGTGTCGACGCGCGTGTCGTTCAGAACCCAATGGCTTTCGAGTCGACTCAATCGGACCCCCTCCCCACCCGCAGCGCCTCGCCCTCGTCGCGCCACAGAAGCATGGTCGAGTCAAAGAGCTTCCCTGCCGCCAATCCGCCGCTATTTGCGGCGGCAGATGCGCGCCTTCCTTCGTCGCAGAGCTGCAGCGCTGCCGTTCCGCACCGCCCCGCTTCCCCGCACACGCATTCCCCATTCCCGTCCCCGCACGCGCACTCCCCATTCGCTTCCCCGCGTACCGCTTCCCCTCGCCCCGCCTCCCCGTTCTCCTCCCCCCGTCGCGCCTCGCCGCTTTCCTCTCCTCGCCCCGCCATCAACGGCGGCCCGCGCCGTCCGCCAAGCGATCAGCAGTCAGCAAGATTGGACCCCACAGCAGCAGAATCAGCTTACGTGGACTGGCCGACAACTGACGTGTCACCGGCGGGATTCTCACCAGCAGCGGCAGGCCCGCCGTCCCCATCCACATCAGGAGCGGCTATAGCGGCTGTAGCGGGGCTGCGGTCGCGCAGCCGGCTGGGTCCGGGCTACAACCATGCGGCAGCTACAGCCGACGAAACCGCCGGCAGCCCTCGCTGCGCCTTGCCTCGTCATGCCGCTGTCGCTAATCCGGGGGCGCATACATCGTCAGCCCCCGCCGTCGCTGGCGCCGAGTGTGCTGGACTGAAGGCGTGCGCAGGTGGCGGCGCAAACCGCGCTGCGCTAGTAGGGGGCTCTGCTGCGAGCGCGTGGCAGTGCGAGGAGTCGTCGAGCCCCGCTGATTCGGAGCAGGTAAAGATTATGCGAGTCGCAGCTAAGTCGCAGGACGGTCGCACGGCGGTGTCCCCGAAGGACCCCCCGGTCCGCCGCTTTGCGCTTCCGCCGAAGCTGCTGTGCGGATCCTTCTCCCCCTCCTCACCCTCCTCCCTCTCCCCCGCCTCCCCCTCCCCAGTCGCGTCCTTTTCCCCCGCCTCCCCTTCCGCCCGCAAGCGCTCCGCCGCGTTTCCGCATTCCGCCTCTTCCCCCGCCTCGTGCCCCCATTCCGCCGCCGCGCCCGCGTCCCCCGCCTCCCCCACGCCTTTCCCCTCGTGCTTCTCCTCCTCCTCGTCCAGCGCGTCGCACTCGCGATTCCCGTCGCTGTCGCCATCGTCGCCCGTCGGCGTCCTGAAGTCGCCCACGTCGCATTCCCCCGCGAGCAGGTGCGCGTCGCCGCAGCCGCGGAGCCCGCTGGGGATGGCGCCGGGAGCGGGGAAGGGCGCAGGCGCTAGCGCGGGCGGTGGTAGCAGCGGCGGCGGCAGCAGCGGTAGCCAGAATTTTCCCTGCAGCCACCTGCAGCAGCAGCAGCTGCCGCCGCAGCAGCCGCCGCAGCAGCCGCTGCCGCAGCAGCAGCAGCAGCAACAGCAGCGGCGCGGGACGTTGCTGGGAGCGCAGGGGCGGTCGTTCAGCATCTCGGATCTGCTGCGCCTGCCCTCGCGCGCGCCCTCCGGCCGATGCGCCGATGACTCGGTAGTCGGTAGCGCACGAGAGAGCCCCGCCGCGGGGAGGGGGGGAGAGACGAATGGCGCGGGTGGGGGGGGGTTCGGAATGGTTTGGAAGGGCGCGGAGGGGCAAGGGCGCGGAGGGGAGGCCCAGGGGCAGCACATGAAACTGGCGGAACAGTCCGGGTCGCAACACGCGCAGCAGCAGCAGCGGCGGGTGGGGGGGGATGGGCAGAGGAGACGGGCGATAGTGCGGTGTGTATCGGAGCAGGTGGAACGAAGCAGTGCTTATAGCGGGGATGGGATGGTGGGGCGCGAGGGAAGGGGAGGGGACGGGGGAGCGAGGAGGGCGGGCGGGCATGGGTGGGCGTCGGCTGACCTGGCGCTGAGGCTGCACCGCGCAGTGGTGGTGGCTGCCAAAGGCCATGCTGCTAGAGGGAATTCTGCTGCTGCTGCAGCTGCTGCTAGCGGCAATGCTGCTGTTGCGGGTAGAAGTGGGGTTGCAGGAAGGGCAGAGGCGCTGGGAAGGTCGGAGGACGGGGAAGAGTGGAGGGAAGACGGGGAGAGCAGGGAGAGGGGGAGCGGGTGGAGCGTGGATGGGGAGGAGGAGGAAGCGCAGGGGGAGGAGAGCGAAGAAAGGGAGGTTGGATACTGCAAAAGGCCCGAGTATAGCAGAGAGAGCTGCTGCACAGACGGCAGCAGCAGAGACGGCAGCAGCGGCAGCATACCTGTGTCCCCCTTGGGGTACCTGGGCAGCAGCAGCTCGTTCAACGCGCGCCCTCGCTTCCCCGTCAACGCCTCCACCTCCGCTGCCGCCGCCGCCCTCGCTGCCGGGGGCAGCTGCCGCCGCAGCAGCAGCAGACTCGCGCTCTCTGACCTCTACAGCAGCAGCAGGGACCTGTACGGCGCGGGGGCTGGGACGAGCGGTCACACTGGTGCCAGTAACGCCAGGGGTGAGAGCAGCTGTGGCGAACCCACCACTCCCCCTGCTGCCCTTGGCGCTGCTGGTGCTACTGGTAGCGGTGCTGACAGCGGTGGCGGCGGCAGCGGGCGTATGGGCAACAGGCTGAGCAGCAGCATCGGGTGGAGCAGCCGCAGCAGCCGGGAGCTGTTCAGGGGCGCGCGGGACATGCACGGCACGCACTCCGGGCTCTTCCACGGGGGGGGCAGCGGCCGAATGCTGGGACTCAGCCTCAGCCCGCTGAGGGACAGACGAGCCGACAGAGGCGAGAAGAATGCGAGGCAAGGCGATGTGGGGTTGATGAGCGGCGCTCTCTCTCCTGCCGCCATCCCGCGGTCGCCTTCTGGTGTCGCCCTGCTGTCCTCCCCGCTTGCTGCTTCTTCTGCCACCGCTTCCCCGTCTCCCCATTTCTCCCAGCCTGCAGCTGGTGCAGGTGACGCCGCGCCTGGTTCACTGCAGCCGCACCTGCGAGGGAGGCTCGGGAGAGAGGCTTGGCAGCAGCAACAGCAGCAGCAGCAGCAGCAGCAACAGCAGCATAGGCAGCAGTATGGGCAAGGTGAAATGATTCAGGAGCATTACCACAAGCAGACACAGGTGTCCTGTGTTGGCTTCAGTGTAAGCACAGTCAGAACCATAAGCACACATGCTACAGTCACCCAACAACCCTGCAACAGTGCCTCGTCATCCGCACATGCAGCAGCAGCAAACACAGCGACATCAGCAGGCCCCCTTGCATCTCCCTGCCCACCAGTATCACCAGCAGCATCCCAAGCCCATCAGCCTCTTGCATTGGCCAGCCCAGGCCGCTTGCCAGTAGCCACGGTGGTTGCTGAGCCTGCCAGCGAGGCTTGGGCGGCGATAATCAAGAACGGTGTGGAGAGCAGCAAGGGCTCAGAGGAGCAGCTTCGGCAGCAGCGGCTGTGGAAGCAATCGCAGCGCGCAGCGGAGAGACGGAGAAAGCCGCGGCCGAGCGAGTTTGTTCTCAGAAAGCCGTACTCGGATATCCGGGAGGAGTATGTGGTAGCAAGGAAGGAGATCGGGAGCGGGCAGTTTGGGATCATCCGCAAGTGCGTGCAGCGACAAACGGGGCTCACCTTCGCATGCAAGACCATCGCCAAGGCGGGTATCCTCACCCCGGAGGACGCTGAAGACGTGCGCAACGAGGTGTGCTTCCTGGAAACCCTGCGTGGCCACCCCAATATCATTGACTTGACCGACACGTTTGAAGACGAGGAGAATATTCATATTGTGATGGAGCTGTGTAAAGGAGGGGATTTGTTCGACCGCATCAAGATGCGTGGGCGCATGCCCGAGCCCGCTGCCGCTGCCATCTGCCGCGCGCTGGTGGGTGTGCTGCTGCACTGCCATGCGAGCGGCGTGCTGCACATGGACGTGAAGCCCGAAAACGTGCTCATGTGCGACCGCTTCGAAGATACGCGAATAAAGCTCATCGACTTCGGGGTGGCCACGCGGTTCACACCGGGTGTGCCTTGCTCGGAGGTGCTGGGCACGCCCGAGTACATCGCGCCAGAGGTGCTGAACGGGTCGTACGGCCCCGCGGCCGACATATGGAGCGCGGGTGTGGTGCTGTACGTGATGCTGGCGGGGGCTCCTCCGTTCTGGGAGCGCGCGACGAGGACACTCAAGGAGTCGATTCTGGGGGATGACGTGCCCTTCACCACCAGCAAGTGGGGCGACCGGTCGGCGGAGGTCAAGGCGCTTGTAAAGAGGATGCTTGAGAAGGATCCGGCCAGGAGGATCACTGGGGAGGAGATTCTTGGTGAGTAAATATCTGAATGGGAAAGGAGGAGAGGATGTTTAGCTCCTCCATGCCTGTACCTCCCCCTCCCTCCCTCGCTCTCTCTCTCCCACCATTCCCCCCCTCCCTCTTCTCCCCACTTCTTGCACACATCCATGCACATGCCTTCCCCTTAGCAGCAACGCCCTAATCCTGGTCCCGCCCATGTTCCACCACTGTCCGTTCATGCAGAGCACCCGTGGATCAAGATGCACGCACAGTGAAAGCCACTGATCCTGTGCTGCCATGTGTGGCGGAGGAGTTAAAGCACAGACGTCAATGGCGTTGTGGCGAGTGGATCTTATCGAAGATAGGAAGCCACCTGAACCGTCAACCTAATGAGACGTCGATGCACAGTGGTGGATTATTAGGGTTACTAATTAAAGGTTACAAAGCCCTAACTAGTCGACTAGGCCACTTGGAAATTCGTTTGCTTGGAAGGGTGTGTGTGTTAGTGCACCATTGGATGGAAGTTTGATGTCATGTATTATTATTGTAGGGAAGAACCTACTGTAGCCAGGCCTCATTCTTGAAGTGCAAGCGGAATGTCTGGTTCAGCACTGTAGCGTGGTGGCGTAAAGGCTACGACATGGGCCTCTCCCCAACAAGCCAAATTCTTCGCCATCACGAGCTTGCGAAGTCGATAACCAGACTCGACGCACCTTGAGTGCCTGCCGACGACAGGGTGCAAGCGAACTGTTGCGACAAAGATTCGTTTCTGGTTGTTTCTGAAGCCTTCCCACCCGTTGGAGCCTCGTGAAGAGCAAGCTTTGTCGGAGTGTGTATGAAGCACCTAAGTCCATTTTACATGCTGAGTTGCACCTGTCATGAGCCATTTCCTCATCTGCCATTTGCCTGTGTTCCAAGATCCCCCTTGAGGAAACAGCACCGACTGCGCGGCGCGGGCTGCGCATTTACCTGCTTATATAGGATTTTGCATTCCCTTGTTCTTCTCTTATTAGATTCGTGTTACAGGTTAGCCTTGGCTAGCGGTTAGCACGCCTCGTTGAAATTCAATTTGTCGGAATGGGGGGTGTGACGCTGTACGGCCATCCGCAGTCACCATATGTGCGTCGCGCGCTCATGGCGTTCTACGAGATGGGCGTCCAGGTGAGGCGAATGGAACGTCTGTGGTCGCATCCGTGAAGCTACTAGGTTATGCTGCCGAGAGCGCATTCGCGTGCTTGTTATCCGGTTCCCATACGGTTGCGTTCATCACGGCGCGACATGGCGCGTGGCAGGATTTCGATTTCTCGTACTCGTGTCCCGTCCACCAGGATTTCGATTTCAAGGTGGTGAGCTCGTCCAAGGGCGACACCAAAACGGACGAGTACCTCGCCATGAACGTGAGTCGTAAGTGGGGTACAGGGCGGCTGCTCGTCAAATCTGGTCGTCAAATCTGGTCGTCAAATCTGGTCATCAAATCTGGTCGTCAAATCTGGTCGTCAAATCTGGTCGTCAAATCTGGTCGTCAAATCCGGTCGTCAATAGGGTCCTCAGTACAACAAGTACCAACACCAGGACGGACGAGCACCTCGCCATGAACGTGAGTACCTTGCTCTGAGCGCGGGGAACGGCGTATCTGTAACGTTGGCGAGACCATGCATAACCTGGGCGTAGATAATAGCGCTGGGTGGGTTCGAACAATGTAGAGTAGTGGGTGGAAATGGTGTATTAACGAGAGTGGATAATGCTATTTAGGGTGGGATATATGTGATAGTGAATGTGGCGCATGGCGATTCGACAGTGTGCAACGGTGTTATGGTGGTGTCCGCCGAGAGAGAATGCGGGCAGCAGACAGATGCATGAAGCACCAGCATTTCAAGTTCCGCCTTACCATGTGATCCACGCGTGGGCTACTTTTTGAGAGGGGAGAAAGGTGGGTGGCAAGGACGGGGGATCGGGGAGGAAGGAGCATAATGATCAAGGTGCAAAAAAAGGCGTGTTTTACCTTTTTTGACCGTTTAAAACGGGATCGTATAAAACGGTCGTATAATACGATTAAAACGGTCGTATAATACGATTAAAACGGTCAAAAGTTACATTTTGCGTTTGGTGCAAAAAAACGGCCGTTTTATACGACCGTTTTTTTCGTACCACCGTACAATACGGTTTACATTGTTTTTGGCTGAGCTAATAACGCTTAGGGGGGGGAGGACTAGGGGGGGGAGGACTAGATGGATGACGCTTAGGAGGAGGAGGACGGTGGGGATGGTGGAGTAGGAGCAGAATGAGGCCTAGAAGGCGACGGACTAGGGGCATGGACATCACATGCCTGTTTCAAAGCCGCTAATTACCCCGTAGAACGATGCAGGCCGCCTTAGCGATCAGGCCGCTTGTTTACGCGTGCTTTTTATACATAAATGTTTTTTCATGAAATAAAATCTAACAAACAAACGTCGTTTTTTACCAAAAGCCACCATAAAAAACGGCCGTTTAATATGGATGCAGTTTTTTTGCACCTTGAGGGGATGCGACTCTGTTACTTCTCCCTGCATGTTCCCTTTTCTCGTGTCCCCTGCTCGCCCTTCAGCCCTTCGCCAAGATGCCTCTTCTAGATGATAACGGCCAGTACCTCTACGGTGGGTCAATGTTACACCAACCTGATGCGCATATAGCAAATCAAGGAAGTCAGCATGTCAGTAAGGAGTATGGTCTGGCGTCTCTTCAATATCAGTGTCCCTCAACCACCACGCTCCGTTCTATCACTGCAAACGAAGGAAGACCGTCACAAATCCTTTGTTGACGCATGGATTTGCCCCCTGTGGTGGGCTACATCATACTGCGCTGTGCGTGTTCTGTGTGTGTGTTATGTCTCGAGTCGTTTCCTCATGCTTCCCGCCCTTGTTGACTGCACAGAGTCGCGCGCCATCATGCGGTACATAGCAGAGAAGCACGCGGGGGAGAGCAGCTCCGACCTGGTGGGCAAAGATCCTTTGGAGCGCGCGCTGGTCAACCAGTGGGTGGACGTGGAGGGGCACAGCGTGACGGAGCAGGTGGTCGTGGTGGTGGAGGAGAACTTTCTCAAGAAACTCATGGGCACGGGCGAGCCGGACAAGGACAGGGCGGACGCTGCTAAGGAGAAGGTGAGGGGATGGGACAGAGGGTGAGGGGATGGGGAGAGGGGTGCGAGGAGGCGCATAATTTGAAGGAAGGAAGCTAGCATGTATAAATCTACACCCTCCCAGGCCTCTTCTGCCTTGCCATTTCACACTTGGGCAACCTCGTTAGCCCCTTGCCCTTCCTTGCGGATGATAGCACCGTCACTTTTCTTTCTGTTTCCACTTGGCGAAACTCTTCAACGTGCCCCCTTACTCCCCCCTTCTCCATGCAGCTGGCTCGGCTGTTTGACGTCTATGAGAAGCACCTGGAGGGGCGGGAGTACCTGGTGGGGGGGCGGTTCACCCTGGCGGACCTCACGCACCTGCCCTACACCGAGCTGCTGCCCCACGCCGGCGCCGCGGAGCTCATATCCAGCCGGCCCAACATGTCCAAGTGGTGGGAGCGCATCTCCTCGCGGCCCGCCTGGAAGAAGGTGCAGCAGCTGGAGGCGAAGCTCTCGTGACGGCCACTGTTATGCTCACAACCCATCTCCTGGTTGGGCAGCCATGCTGCCTGTGAGCTGTAATGGTGGTGCCATGTTGGCCTGCTTGTCTCATCCAGGAAGTTGAGAAATCCTAGGAAAAAAGCCATAGTAGTTACAAGGTTAAAACATGGGAATTCTTAAGGTTATTGTGTCAAACTGCAAAAAACGCAGCAATCCCACTGGAAGAGAGAACTTGAGATTGCTTAGACCGAACACCTTGTCAACTTATACATATGTTTATATGTAGAAGGTATAGGCTAGATAGGTTTGTGTTCTTAGAGGGTACAACTCCAACTCTATATCTCCCCTGTACTCTCTTGCCGCTGTCGCTGAGACAGCCCCTGCAGCTGAGACCGCTGCCGCAGTGGCCGCAGCGCAGTCCCGTTATGGTAAGGCCCGCAGCCCCAAGGCTGGGCGCGGCGGTGGTAGTGGAGGAGGGGGTGGAGGTGGTGGTGGAGGTGGTTCATCCGCTGGCGTTAGCACAAACGAGAGGGCTGGGGCTGGTGCCTCGGAGCAGCAGCCCCAGCGGGAGCAGCAGCAGCAGCCGCAGCAGCAGCAGCAGTCGCAGCGGAGGGTCGGCCGCCTCCCGCCAGGGTGGCCTGGCACTGGTGGTGGTGGTGGTGGTGGTCGCGGTGGTCGTGCGCGTAGCTCGTCGTAGGGTGGTGGTGCGGGTGACTGGCGCTGCCAGTACCAGCTCCATACTGGTCCTCGTCGCGGCCTCGTGTGCGGTAAGACCGGTCATACCCCCACTCGCTGTTTCAGTCGCCTGGACGACCTGTTTCGTCTCCGCTTCAGCCCCGCGCCGGACCTCACCGACTGGCACAGTCTGCTCCGCCGCGGTGTTAGGATATTTGATATGGACATCGATGAGATTAGCTCTGAATTGTATGTGTTGTATATTGATGACTCTAGTGTGACTGGTTCCTATTATCCCGTGTTGCCTAGTGCAGGTGAGTCCAGTGTGCCTAGTTTAGGCTCCCCTGCTGCGTCAGGCGTAGGACCCTTTGCTTTGTTTAGCCTTGGCTCCACACTAGCTCCTCCGCCCCCAGCCACCACTGCTGCGCTCTCCTTCACTATCGACTCTGGCGCGTCTCCGTGCTTCTTTCGGGACCACACTACGCTTACGCCGCTTGCCGTCCCTGCCACAGTTACCCTTGCAGACCCTTCCTCAGGTCCGGTAGTCGGCCGTAGTTTCACTACTCTCCCCTGTCCGGTAGTTCCCTCGGGCTCTTACAGGCCTGCACATCCCCTCGTTCTCTCGGAATCTAGTTGGTGTCGGCTGTCATTAGGACCTCGGCGTCACCACTACGTTTACTAGCCACGAGCGGTACACTGTCTATATCGAGGCCGCCACTTGTGCCCCCCTTACCACGTTCCCCCGGGACCCGGTGTCTGGCCTGTTAACGCTGGATACCGCGTCCCCCCCGATTGAGATGCCCCCCCAGGTGGCAGCGTCTACCCAGGTTGCTGCTGCTTGCTCGTGTTGGTCGCTTACTCACCCGTCGCTTCTGTGGCACCGCCGCCTAGGTCATCCCGCTCTCACACGTCTCTGTCACATGTCTTAGCACGGTCTTGTCTTAGGTCTCCTTGCGTCGTTCCCTGCGCACCCCTCCTCAGCAGCGCCTTCATGCACCCCCTGCGTCGAGGGCCGGCTCCGCCATGCCCCTCACTCCTCCTCGTTCCCCCCCACCACCGCACCATTACAGACCCTACACATAGACGTTTGGGGCCCCGCCCCCGTCCATGGGCCACGTCGTGAGCGCAACTTCCTAGTGCTTGTCGACGACTACACTCGCTACACCACCGTGTTTCCCCTGGAGCGGAAGGCTGACGTGCCCGACAATCTTATCCCGTGGCTTGTCTCTGCGCGTGTGCACCGAGGTGTGTTGCGACTTCACTCCGACCGTCGTGGCGAGTTCGCCTCTGGCTGCCTTGGTCGCTTCTGTCGTGCGGAGGGCATCACCCAGACGTACACCATGCAGCAGAATGGGGTCACTGAGCGACGCATCGTTTTGGTCATGGAGGTGGCTCGTACCTCCATGATACCTCCATGATCCATGCCGGTGCACCCCATTTGCTGTGGCCGTTCGTCATTCGCTACGCCGCCTACTAGCTTAACCTGTGGCCGCACCCTCAGCGGCCGCAGGTTTCACCGACCCTCCTCTGGACCAGGTCTCCTGGTGACACGTCTACATTTCACGTCTGGGGCTGCCTTGCTCACGTTCGTGCCTCTGGCACGGACAAGCTCATTGCCCGCACCGTTTCATGTGCCTTTCTAGGTTTCCTCCTCGACTCGTCTGACTGGCACTTCTACCACCCGCCAGCTCACCGTTTCTTTCACTCTCGCGATGTTACCTTTGACGAGTCCGTCTCCTTCTACCACCGCTTTCCCCACTGTGGTCCCCCGGTCACTCCCCCCTAGTTCCTGGTTCCCCCCCCTCCCCAGGTCGACCCTGTTCCCCCACCTCCCCGCCCTGCCCCGTCTGGTGTGTCCCACATCACCCCCCTCCCGTCAATTATCCCTGCCGAGGGGTCTGCTGACTCTCGCGGCTCTGCGAAGTCCCTTCCCCCACCTGCCCCCCCCCAAACTCTCCTCCCCTGTTGCCGTCGTTGCTGTCACAGCCGCAGCCACCTCCGCAGCTGCCGTCGCCGCCGCGGCCGCAGCCGCCGTCGTCACCGCCGCTGGGGTTTGTGCGTTCTGGGGGTGCTGGGGAGCGTGACGGAGCAGGTACTGGAGCGGGTTCCCATTCTGGGGGTGCTGGTGTGGGGCTTCACGCAGGGAGCCGTGGACCTGCTGGAGCCTCTGGTGTTGGCGTTGGGCAGCAGTCGTCGCCGTCATCGTCGATGTCCGCTCTTCGCCTCCTCAGCCTTCCTTCTCCTGACCGCCCGCCAGTGCCTCCTCGGTCGCCACCGCCTCCTCCTCTGCCGGTCTACGGCCCTGTGTTTCCTCCAGTGGACTTTTCTCTGGCTCGTTTCCCTCCTTGTTCTCCTCCCGTGTCTCCTCCCCTCTCTCCTGACCCGACTCCTCCGTCTCACGTCTGGGCTCGTCGTCCGTCTCGTACTCGTCCTACCTCCCCTGTTCTGCGTTCTCACCCGAAATTGCTTCTCTCACACGCATCTCGTGCTCCTCCGCTCCTCCCGTCTCCTCCTCCGTTGTCACTCGCTGTGGCCCCGCCTCCGTTTTCTGACTTCCTCCGTGCCGCGCGTCCCCTTGTTCCTCGTGTCCTTGCCTCCCTCGTTACCGACCCGTCTGTCCCTGTCTCGAGCCTTGATGCTCTTGTCGCTGCTGTCGCTGACTTCGACGCTACCCCCCGCCTGAACTACGCCACCGCTCTTGTCTCTGACCTTGCCTGCCCTCCGTCCGTCGGGGGTGTGGCTGCCCTTGGCAGTGACGTCCTAGAGAACAGACAGTACGAGCGTGCTTTCCTGTTAGAGGCTGCTCCCCATCTCTGTTCCATGCTGCTAGTCCCTGAGGGTGACCCAAGCGCCCTTGACATCCCGACCCCTCGCACCTATGCTAAGGCCACCTCGGGACCCTGGGCCTCTCAGTGGATAGCTGCCATGGAGCAGGAGATGGCATCTTGGAGATCCACTGGTACCTTTGTCGACGCAGTTTCCCCATCTGGGGTGAACGTAGTCGATGGCCGATGGCTCTTCAAGGTGAAGCGCCCTCCTGCAGAGCCGCCCGTCTTCAAGGCGGGTTACGTTGCTCGTGGCTTCAGTCAGCCCCGACCCTGAAGATGACTACTCTTCTGGTACTGCTACACGTAGCAGCACAGAGTGACTACGAGCTGCACTCACTCGACTTCTCCACAACTTTTCTCCAGGGCAGTCTACACGAGCAAGTCTACCTGCGCCGCCCCTAGGGCTTCTCCGGTACCTTTCCCCCCTGGTACCGAGTGGTTCCCCCGGCGCCCCGTCTACAGCCTGAGCTAGGCTCCCTGTGAGTGGCACGACACGCTGTGTGCTACACTTTCTGACTTGCAGTTCTTCCCGTCGTCTGCGGACCCCTCGCTCTTCGTCCTTTCCGGCCAGACTCCGTTCTACATCCTTGTTTACGTAGATGATATGGTTTTTGCTACTGCAGACAGAGACGCGCTGGCCTCCGTGAAGGCCGAGCTGCTGAGGAGACACACCTACACTGACCTAGGAGAGCTGTGTCGCTACCTTGGCTTGGAGATCTCCAAGGACAGAGCAGCGCGCACCATCCCTCTCACACAGTCACATTTGGTGCGCCAGGTCCTTCAGAGGTTCGGCTTTCAGTTTTTTTCCGCACAGCCCACCCCTCTGCCAGTAGATCACAGACTCTCTGCTCCAGTTCCGGAGGAGGCTGTAGAGCCTAGTGGTCCTCACGCAGAGCTGGTGGGTTGCCTCATGAGTTGCACTCGTCCAGATCTCGCATACCCTCTCAGCATCCTGGCCTGCTTTGTGGCCTCCGGCAGACACCGACCACAGCACTGGTCTGCAGCAAAGAGGGTTTTGCGATATCTAGCAAGTACATAAGGCATGGGGCTAGTGGTAGGAGGACGCAGACCAGTGGTCCTTACCGAGCACACAAACGCTTCTTGGGCAGACGACGCCGAGACACTCAGGACCTCCCAGGGCTACTGTTTTAGCCTTGGTGCAGGTGCTGTCACATGGAGGTCCACCCGCTCGTCATCTGTTGCCCATGTTAGAATTAAGGACGGAGTCTAGGTGAACTTAGGAGCTAGAATGTCTCAAAAAATATATCCAAAATTCTGGACAGAAAAGTCGTCTCCACAAGAAACGTGGTCCATGAAAAACTAGCCGTTGGAATTTTGCAAAAGTCGGATATGTTGTAGCTCTGAATTGTAGCTACCGTTTTCAATTTGAATCATGTTGATTGATGGAGTATTCGCGGCGCTATGTCTTTCGAAGCACATGGGGGTATGCTGTAGGAGAAGAACTTCAATCAAGGTTCAATAATCTCACAAAGAATTAGAGGAGCAACAGAAAGGTTGAAAAGGATGAGAGGGATGAGAGGGAAGGTCCCAAGAGAGTCCCCAACTAAAGAAACCCCATAAGCACAAAGATTCCCTCCCTATAGGAACCCCAACTTTGACATTTGTCCCTTCCCAACCAATCCAACCAAGTTGGCCACCCTTACCAACCTAGCTTGGTTGTTCCCAACCAATTTGCAGCTGCTACAGTAGAGTGACGAATTTCCCTACAAGGATTCAAGAAACTTCACATCCCTTGACAAAGTCAGCTTCTGGGTGATCAAGTCCCACAGCAGCCACCCCTTGTGATCCTTCGCAAT